TAAACCCGGGGAGCGTTTATCGCCTAAACCTGGAGTGATTTTTGCCCAAACCCGGAGGGCCTAAACTTCTAAACCCTAGTCTTCTAACCCTGAGCCCTAAACCCTAAACTCCCAAATCCCAAACTCCCAAACCCCACACTCCTCAACCCTAAGCCCCTGCCAATTCCTAAATGCCCTTGCCCTGAGGAAAGCCGCCAGAGTCTTCCCAGCATCCTCGCCGATGCCACCAGGGTGCGGGGAGCAAGAAGCTTGCTGTGGTCTGTAGGAATAAGGTACGTACCTTATATCCCCCTATATATATATACATAAGTATATACATATATATATATATACACTCTTTAAGGATTATATAGGGGTACCTCGTTCACTCATTCCCTACTAACCAACAGCAAGGAAAGTCTGGGTATGGGGTTGAGGGTTGGGGGTGTGTAGGGTTGAGGGTTCAGAGGGTTTAGGGCTTAGGGCTTATAGGGCTTAGGGCATAGGGCATAGGGCTTCGGGCTTAGGGCTTAGGGCTTAGGGCTTAGGGCTTAGGGCTTAGGGCTGAGGGCTTAGGGCTTAGGGCTTAGGGCTATGGCTTGGTGGATACTTCCCAGCTTTTGCGTCTCCAATTGGTGGAGTCCCTAAACCCGAAACCCTAAACCGCAAACCCCAAACCCTCATCCCTAAACCCTAAACCCTAGACCCTAAACCCTAAACCCTAAACCCTAAACCCTAAACCCTAAACCCTAAACCCTAAACCCTAAACCCTAAACCCTCACAAGTTTGGAATTTTGCATGTCGTTGGGCTCAGGGCTTTGATTGGCTTGGGCCTGAGGCGCTACTATCAGAAGTCCCTCCACGCTCCTTAAGTGAGCCGAGGTTTAGGGTTTGGGGTTTGGGGTTTGGGGTTTGGGGTTTGGGGTCTGGGGTCTAGGGGCCTAGGGGTCTAGGGGTTCGGGGTTTGGGGTTTGGGGTTTGGGGTTTTGGGGCTTGGGTGCATCACCAGATCTCCATGCTTGAGCAATTTTGACGGGTAAGCGGGATTGGTGGACTGGGGGGGGGGGGGTTCAAACAACCCTGAAGCCTACAACCCAAACCCTAAGCCCTAAACCCTAAACCCCAAGCCCTAAACCCAAAACCCAAAACCCTAAACCCTAAACCCTAAACCCCAAGCCCCAAACCCTAAACCCTAAACCCTAAACCCCAAACCCAAACCCAGGGGTAGCCGGCCAGGTCGGTCGGGAGCAACTGCGGCAATTTGGGCACCCGCCGCGCCAACGAGAACAACGGACCGTGTTGATAGCGTTCTTTAGTTTAGGGTTTCGGGTTTCGGGTTTAGGGTTTAGGGTTTAGGGTTTAGGGTTTAGGGTTTAGGGTTTAGGGTTTAGGGTTTAGGGTTTAGGGTTTAGGGCTTAAGTTCAAGGTGCATATGTAATCCAAGGTTCCCTAATACTCCCTACTAAGGCTCCCTAAGCTTTTTTAAGGTTCCCTAGGTAGCTACCCCCCTTGAGCCCCCCTCCCTTAAGAACCTATAACGTGTGGGCAGGGGACTTGACTTTACCTATGTAGGGTGTTGGGGTTAAGGGTTTAGGGTTTGAGGGTTAAAGGTTTAAGGGTGTAAGCGCTTAGGTTTTAGGGTTTAGGTGTTCAGGGGTCTAGTCACTAGGTGCTGCTCAGGGTTAGGGCCTGAAAGTTTGGGGTTTAGGGTTTAGGGTTTAGGGTTTAATCTGCAGGGGACGGGCTTGAAAGACGAGTTGCGTCGAAGCGCCAGGACCTGCCACCGGCAACCTCAGCGATCTCGGAGGTGCTCGAAGCTTCAGAAGTTTGCTTTGTTCAGGGTTTAGGGTTTAGGCTTTAGGGTTTAGGGTTTAGGGTTTAGGGCTTAGGGTTTAGGGTTTGGGGTAGCTAGGGGTCGAGGATTGAGGGGAAGCCTCGAGGCTTGAGCCTCTAAACTTTCCAGCCCCATTGACGAGGGTTACACGCAATTATGTGAAGGTCACGGCCCGGGGATGAAGGGCGGGGGGCCGGGGAGCCAAGAACTAAAAACAGTTTTGAATGAGAAACTCTGCTGACGGCCTGTTGCCGGTCTCGCGAAAACCCCTCGAAACTTTCTGGTGTCCAAAATAGGCCCCCAAACAATTTGCAACGAGCGGCCCTGATTGGCTTTAGAAACTTTAGTCAATGGTTTCGGTTTCCCGCATTAGTCCGCAGGCCCCCTGGCCAGGGAGCCACAAAGCCTATACTAAACCGGGTCCAACAGTACTAGATACTTGGGATGTTCCCCCTTATACTAGCAGTGCTTAGTAGGGATGAGTCTCGGGGGTACTACATTCCCTATGAAGGACTGTTCGTATACAGGGGAACACCCCAATCTTTACTAGTTACCAAGACGGGTCCTTGTAGTTGTAGCTGGTGTGCCTTTACATAGAGCTCTCTGCCCAGTCAAGACGAGTATAAATCAGAACTATACGGGAGAACACCCTACGCATGGTACTCATAGAACTTATGCGATGGCATAGCTGTATCGGACAAGGCCTTGCTTCCTCATGCTGTTATTTTCCTTAACAAGAACCTAGGAGGAGGCACTTCAACCCTAAACCCTGAACCTTAAACCGCGGGAATGACAAAAAAGGAGGCTTGACTGGTGTCTGCTGCTCACAAAAGTTCCTGCAAACACCGCTGTACCTGGTCTCCCATGGACCTGCAACTCCAAACCTCTGCTCGAACATCATGGGAAATTCCTACGCCATGAGCCAAACGCCCAAACCCTCAAGTCTGACCCTAAAGCCCTAAAGCCTTAAACCTTAAAGCCTTAAATCCCGAAAGTCCTAGAAACCCGATTCCCCAAAGCTCACCCGACAAGGCTGCAACCCTTACCCCTACACCCTAAACCCTAAACCCTAAACCCTGCAAGTTGCCAGAACTCTGCAATCCCCCAGGCTTCCCACCAACGCCGGGATGGGACGACATGGCGGCCCGGAGAAAAGCCGCGGTAGGTTTTTCATCTTTAGGGTTTAGGGTGCAAGGCATTTTTTATGAGTGTTTTTCTGGCCCGGGGGGGGGGGATTTGGGTTGTGGTTTTTGGGGGTTTAGGTTTTTGGGTATTTTGGGTGTTAGGGCTCTAGGACTCTAGGGCTTCGGGACTTTTGTGTTCAAGGGGCCTAGGGTTCTGGGTTCCAGGATTTTGGGGTTCCTGGATTTGTAGGGTTTTAAAGGGTTCTACGGTTCCAGGCTCTGGGGAGGGTCTGTGAGATCAGGGCGCCGCGCATTTGGGCGGCACAAGAAGTGCCGCGGTTCAGGGTTTAGGGCCTTTAGGGTTTAGGGTTTAGGGTTTAGGGCTTAGGGTTTAGGGTTTCGAGCACTTTTTCCGGGCCAAGTGCGAAGCCCAGCCTTCTGGAAGACTTGTAGCTCTATGACCCCCCCCCTCGCCCCCGCCAAGTTACATCTGATACCGAGTGCAACTTGCAACTCCCCCAACGAATCGGAAAACAGCCGACTGCCTCTTAGAACGGACTGAGGGAATGAGGACATAAGGGGGTATAATGTGCCTGAGCCCCTCATTCCATCCTACCCTAAACCCTAAACCTTATAAACCCTAGAACCAGTGGGCCAGGGTGACGATGTCATAGGAGCGCTTCGGGGCGGACTTCCCCCTGCCCCGCAGCAGCCGTGGGATTCACGGCCCCAAAGCCCAAGCCATCGATCCAGCTTTCCATAACTTTGTATATATATATATATATTTATATATATATGTGTGGGTTTGCGTGTATATATCTATATCTATATATATATATGTAAATATATACACACGTATGTTTATTTCACTTTGTAATTCAATGTAGTCTAGGCAGCAGAGAAACCCGGGACACTCCAAACCTACAGAAGCAGTTCGTCATCAGCGGGACAAGGTGAGGAGCGCACCGGCAAGGCAACCTCAGTGCTAAAAGCTCTGAGCCCCACAACTCAAGCTGCCAGCAAAAGATGCTAAACCCTAAACCCGAAACCCTAAACCCTAGACCCTAGACCCTAAACCCTAAACCCTAAACCCCAAACCCTAAACCCTAAACCCTAAACCCTAAATGCCTTGAGGTCGCGCCGGAGAGTCCCAAGGCTACCCATGCCCGTACTGAGCAGACGCCCAGTGCAAGTTGTGATCCCGCCACGCTTACTCTGATTGAGGGCTTGGGGTTTAGGGTTTAAGGTTTAGGGTTTAGGGTTTAGGGTTCAGGGTTTAGGGTTTAGGGTTTAGGGTTTATAGGGTTTAGGGTTTATCCCTGAACTTTTCGGGCATCCCGTCGCGGAATGCGACAGGACACGCACAGATGGGGTTTAGGGCTCTCTTAGGAAAACTTTTTTTTTTCGTTTTTTTTGGGGGGGGGGGGGGGGGGTATGAACATTCCTAAGAAACAGCGAAAAAGCATGATTCAGGCTAATCTGCAACCCCCCCCCAAGAACCCTAAACCCTCCAGGCCAAGAGGGGGGGGGGGGTAGCATATAAATAAATCAGTATATCTATGTATATATATGTCTACATATACATATTTGTGCGTGGAGCTGTGAGCAGCAACAGTAATCGTTGCGGTTGGGCTTTCAAAGCAAGACGGTGGCGGTCGCAGCATGAGCACAGGGGCCTCAACAATTGCCAATACTATTCCTCAGGGGTCTTGCGCTATATTATACCCTAGAACCGTAGTCTGATTATTAAGGCCCGTCCCTTAAACCTTTAACCCAGAATACTAAAGCCTAAGGCGTTTGGCTTTCAGCTTGAGACGTAGTTTCTCCGCAAGGGGTCCGTCGATAGCTGCCCGAACGTCCGAAAGTCCTCTAACTCCTAAACCGATTCCAGCAGTAGTAGAAGCAGGGGTAAACCCTAAACCCTCAACCCTCAACCCTGGCCTCCTACCGGTGTCCCTCTGCAGTGCGGTGTTGAAACTTAGATACGGGTTTGCCTATAGGGCTTCGGGCCTAAGTTTTCCCAGACAGACGATTCAGATACTTGACTTCTTCCGACGTGCGAAATGTCGGTTGCCGTGGAAGTCAGCCTGCTCAGTGGCAAGAGAGTTGCCCTGAAAGCAGGTTTGGAAGAAGAGGTATCAGCCGTGAAACGTCGCGCACAGACCGCGCTTGGAGTCGGAAACGGGCGACTGCTGAACTCAGCGGGAAGTGTTCTCGATGCATGTTCGACAGTCACGGAAGCAAGGCTTCAAAAGGGTGATTCCCTGACCTTGCACATAAACAGATTGCAGATTCAATCCTCTGGCAAGACTTTTGCTGCCATTCTGGGCGACGAGTCTGTCGAGACGTGGGGTGATGCTCGCTCTAGTTCCGAAAGTAGTGCTGTGCAGGATCAGCTGCAGAACGTGCGGCAGATCCAAGCCACCCGTGGCTTTTCTGGCAGCGCCTTTGCTGCCATTCTTGGCGATGGATCCGTCGTGACGTGGGGTTCTGCGCGTCATGGTGGTGACAGTACTGCTGTGCAGGCTCAGTTGAAGAACGTGCAACAGATCCAGGCCACTGGTGCTGCTTTTGCGGCTATTCTTGCCGACGGATCCGTCGTGACCTGGGGTGATGCTCGGGCGGGTGGTGTCAGTAGTTTGGTTCAGGCACGGCTGGTGAATGTGCAGCAAATCCAAGCCTCGACTTGTGCTTTTGCTGCCATCCTTGGTGATGGGTCGGTTGTCACCTGGGGTGATAGTCGCCATGGCGGGAATAGCCGTGAGGTGCAGGATCAGTTGAAGGGTGTGCGGCAAATCCAAGCTTGCGGCAAGGCATTTGCAGCCATTCTTGCTGATGGATCCATCGTGACCTGGGGTGATGACTGGCTTGGGCCTGCTGGTAACAGTAGCTTTGTGCAGCATAAACTGAAGAACGTGCAGCAGGTCCAAGCCACTCACTCTGCTTTTGCTGCCATTCTGGGCGACGGAACTGTTGTGACCTGGGGTGATGCCCGGGCTGGTGGTGACAGCAGTGCTGTGCAGGCTCAGCTGCAGAACGTGCAGCAGGTCCAAGCCACTCACTCTGCTTTTGCTTCCATTCTGGGCGACGGAACTGTTGTGACCTGGGGTGATGCTTTGGCTGGTGGTGATAGTAGTGACGTACAGGCTCAGCTGAAGAATCTATGTCCCCCCCTTTGGGAATTATTTCGTATTGTTGTTCATATAATATAACCCAAGAGGACATATAAAACATACAATTTTCATCAAGGTTCTAAGGGCAGTATAGGAGTATGCTATAAAACATGCTATTCTTTATTAAGGCTCTAAGGGCAGTATAGGAATGTGAAGCAGATCGCGGCTTCCAGCGCCTCTTTCGCTGCTCTTCGTGCCGATGGATCGGTCGTGACCTGGGGTGATGATGCTGATGACGATGGTGTCGAGAGCAGCGCCCGGGTTAGCCCAGTGGTACCCTCTACCTTTTTTTTGGGTTTTCGCTTCCCTTATTCATAACATAACCAACCCAAATTAAGGGGGTGCCCTTAGGTTACTAGGCTACTGGGACCTCCGCAGGCGCTGTGCAGGCTCAGCTGACGGATGTCAAGCAGATCCAAGCCTCCAGCAAAGCGTTTGCCGCCCTTCGCGGCGACGGCTCCGTCGTGACCTGGGGTGACTCTTGGGCTGGTGGCTTTGGTGGTACTTTACTGTAACTTTAGGTCCTTTCACCTTTTTTGGGGGGTATTGTTGGGTTTCTTATTAGGGCAGATAAAGTTTAATTTATAGCTACCCTCCTGAGTGCAGCCAAGGTGGCGACAGTAGTGCAGTGCAGGACCAGCTGAAGAACGTGCAGCAGATCCAATACTCTTCCTCTGCTTTCTCTGCCATCCGTGACGGCGGAACTATTGTGACCTGGGGCGATGCTCGGGTTAGTCGTGACAGTCGTGCAGTGCGTGGCAGTTAAAGAAGCGGAGGGAACAGGGATAGAAAGGGCTGTTTGTTCGGTCAGCTCAAGAGCAATGCTTGTCTGATTGTTTTTGAGCCGCTAATGCTAACTTTTGCTAGTGCTTCAGTGTTGTCAGTCCTGCTCGCCGTTACCTGCTCCTTGCAAGGTTTTGTTGCTGTGCCTTCAGAAGAGAAGTGCTCATGGTTTGCAGTTGAGGCTTTAGGGTCCCAAGGGGCAGCTTTTCAATTTCGGGGCTTTTCTGCTAAGCCTCATCGTAGCCAAACTCCCGATGTTTTGGCGGCTCGCCTCAAGTTCCTAAGTAGGATAAGGGGGGACCCTAAAAAACGGGACCCCTTCCTGTGGCTCTCTTAAACAGGGACCTTATTCAGAGGGTCCATCCCCCCAAGGGTCCCCCGAATCACTAAACCCTAAGACCCTAAACCCTAAACCCTAAACCCTAGACCCTAAACCCTAAACCCTAAACCCTAAACCCTAAACCCTAAACCCTAAACCCTAAACCCTAATCCTATCCCCTAAAATCAGGGCCTTCTTCCAAACGCATTTTGCACACTTTCCAAACCCCGATCGACCATCGAGTCCGGCAACAGGAGACCCGGGTTTAGGCTTTAGGGTTCAGGGTTTAGGGTTTAGGGTTTAGGGTTTAGGGTTTAGGGTTTAGGGTTTAGGGTTTAGGGTGTAGGGACAGCGGAAGAACGATTGGAAGAAACCAACCTTCACCCCGCCAAACCCTGAACCCCTATGCCCATAAATTCCAACAAGGGTCCTAAACCCTAAACTCCATAAGCCCAAAACCTAGCCGAAGTCCTCCCAAACCCCAAACCTTCGAACATACCCGCATTCCAAGACCTACACACAGTTGACACCTGCACCCCCATACCCTCGAAGCACCTGTACATGGAAATCCTTCAAAGTTCTCGTTAAATCTCACAAAGTCCGTCCTGCGAAACCTGCATGAGCCTTCATAAACCACAAAAAATCCTATGGAATTCCTAAGCCCGACACCCTTTGGCTGGAGCATCCTCCACACACCAGATTCTTGTCAGGCGGCGCTCAGGGAATTGGAATGCAAACGCCCAGTGACTGGGGTCCCGAGCTCAGGAGGTTCAGGGTTTTAGGGCTTAGGGTTAGGCAGTAGGGTTTGAGGTTTAGGGGTTAGGGCTTAGGGTTTCCAGGGGTTCCTCACTCAGGTGCCGAAGCGTCTCGAGATTTCAGAGGTTCTACATACGCCTTGGGAGGATTGGGCCTGCTTTCGACGTCCATGGGCCCTCAATGCGGTCCCTTACATCCCTTAGGGTTCGTATGTATTGGCTCTTGGATCTAAAAAAGGGTACATAAGGGGTCCCCTTCTCCCATACTCAAAAAGTTCATGGCACGGAGAGCACCAAGGCAGGAAAGGAGAGCAGGGCCACTGCTGGGGACATCGGTGTGCCACACTCCCTGCCTTGTCGCGAGAGGGGTCAATAGAAGACTTTCACAACAACCAGAGCTTGTGAGAGTAGTATGCATCCTGATGGGTTTAGGGTTTAGGGTTCAGGGTTTAGGATTTATAGGGTTTAGGGGGTCAGAGAATCAGCTCTCTTATATCTGAATGAAATATGCTGGCCAAGATCACAGCTGAGCCGGTTTCAGGTCTTCCGCGGGCTGGTGAACTCATCTCCCGTCACTTCCCCAAAAGCTGTTTTCCAGGACCATGCACCTTCCTTGTTCCATGTAACCCTAAACCCTAAATCCTAAACCCTACACCTTAAACCCTAAACCCTAAACCTGTGCAGGGTTTGAAATCAGATTATGGCACACTGTGGCCGACTCAAGCACGACAGCTCTGCACGTACAGCATCCCACACTGGTTTCCTAGGGTTTAGGGTGTAGGGTTTAGGGTTTAGGGTTGATGGGGTCTTATGCTCGGTTTTCTTCGGTTGTTAGTCTATTCTCGGCTCGTACTATACTATTCAATCGAGTATAAACTTAGTCTAGTAACCTCGTATAGCTGAATACAGTAAAGTCTAGTATGCTGAAAAGTAGTATGCGTCGAGCATATTCCAGTATATTGGAATGTCAGAAATCATTTCATACACCCCGCTACCATATCAATGGTATACCCGCCCCACCGAGCCAACTGTAGGCCCTGAACTTGTCAGGGGACTTCTAGACGTTAAGCAACAAAAGCTAGGTGGCCCGATCTTTTCAGAAGGTCTTAAGTGCCATGATAAGAAAAGCGCCAGAAACGTGATGATGCTCAAGATGCCCCGAAGACTGTTAGAAAGAGACACGCAGAGGTCTTAGGTGAAGGCCAACAGCCTCTAAATCTCACTGAGCCGACGCCCTAGCCATCCCAACCCACAGCAACAGCCTTGAACCCCCAAAAAGCCCACCAAACCACTATACTCCCTGAGAACCCTCAAAACAACAACCTTGCACCCAAAATCCCACCAAACCCTACAAGCACTGAAAACCTTCAAAAGCTCCACCAAACCCGGAAAACACTGCAAAACCCTCAACAACCCGCAAACCTTACCAGCCGTGCAAGCTCTTACCAAGGCACTCCCTGGGACGTCCGCCATCCGACGAAGTACCCTCCGCAGGGGGGGGGGGGGTTAGGGTTTTGGGTTTCGGGTTTAGGTAGCTATTCTTGGGGCTGCTCCGGTCTCAGGATTCGCAGTCGACATCGTAGAGGGGGGCCTGGGTATTCCGAAAGTCCGAAATTTCGTCGGGGTGGCCCTGAGAACGTGTCTATGCTGTGTTCGTAACTTTTGAAGGCCATGGGGTCGCTTCTCTAAATTATGGTACGATTGGGGTTACCATGATAAGGCGGGCCCTTAATATTTCAGAAAATTGGGTACTCAAAAGGGGACCATTGTTTTGAGAAGTGAGCCTATGTGTATTGACAGGGACTTGGAGTTTGAAGGTCAAGGCACCCTAAACCCTAAACCCTTGGGACCTTGGCTTAGGGAAGGTTTAGGATTTTTGGGTCTAGAGGTCTATGGAAAGACAACCCACCCCTAAACATCCCAGAAGCACTAGAGCCGAAGCCCCGAAGCCCTAGAATCACCAAGAAGCTGCTGCAGTTCTCCTCGACATACCCGACCTGCACAAAATCTGCAACACCCGAAACGCACCAACACATCTCCATGGCCATCAATCCTAAATCCTGAACCAGGAATCCCCACGTCGAACCACGTGGCCTCATGAGATGAATTAGACCCCAGATCGAACCACAATCCAGAAACCCTGGGCCTGAACTTAACTAAACCCAAATATAACTTAGTAGTAGAGTAGGTAACCTTTAACCTTTTTGGGTTCATATAGTCCCCTTATAATCCCAAAGGTTAACCTTTAAAACCCCTAGGTACTGGACAACTAAGATAACCCTGAACCCTAAACCTGCCCTCGCCTCTAAAGGGAACCTCAAGCTCCTCGCAACAGGCTCACAGGACATGCTGACATGGGTGCAGGCCAGGCTAAACGCATATCTCGCAACACAGTGGTAAAACTAAACCCCAAACCCTAAACCCTAAACCCTAAAACCCTAAACCCTAAACCCTCATCTTGGAGCCCCAGTGGTAAGTACCCTTTTGCCCTTTTGTGGATCAAGGATCCCTTATAAAGTAACCAACCCCCAAAAAGGTACCCTGCTGGGCGACCCAAGTCATCATGTACCCAAAAGTCGTAGAAATCCTCGCGCGTCAGAGGAAACCCCAGAATATGTACCCCTAAACTCTAAACAACCCCAAAACCCTCAACCCTAAACCCTAAACCCTCAACCCTAAGCCCCAAGCCCTAAGCCCTAAGCCCTATTTTGGGGAAACCCCCAAATGGGGAAATGGGGAAATGGTGAATGGGGGGGGGGGTCCTTGCGAGTCTACCTTAAAGCCTCAACCCTCGTTTGGGGTTGCCCTTTCTTGAAGGTTCAGTGCAACCCCAATACTTTGTAATCTTGGGAGGTAAGACCTGTGGGTTGCCACCGGACCCTCAACCCCAAACCCTCAACCCTAAACCCTAAACTCAGGGCATGTGTTACGACACGCTTTGTCGCTGAAAAGGAGCAGTTCCTGAAGCCAGAAAGCCTCCCAGCGCAGCCCCGCATAGAGCTATTGGATTCTCACCCTGAGACGCACAACCTGATTCCACAAGGGTTTAGGGTTTAGGGTTCAGGGTTTAGGGTCTAGGGTTTCGGGTTTAGGGTTTAGGGGGTTGGGGGTTTAGGGGTTTAGGGGTTTAGGGGTTTAGGGTTTAGGGATGAAGGGTTAAGGGTTGAGGGTGTATCAGCTTGCCTTAGACTGACCATGATGCATACAAGCAATGCGACGTTGCGACAGAGAAGAAGGCCTAATTAGAAAAAAGGGCGCCTGTGCCTGGACCAGTAAGGTACGCTTCGCCTTTATGAAGGGGTGTAACCAGGTGGCGGATGAAGAAGAGTAGGCAAATCGGTGCCCCGAACCCTTTAGGGCTTATCCCTAAACCCTAAACCCCAAACCCCAAACCCTAAACCCTAAACCCGAATTAAACGCCCTATCCAGCCTCCAGCTTGCAGGGAATCCGGGCAACGTCGACGGCCGGGGTCTTGATGAATTCCGCAGCCCGGGGAGTTGCGATCTCCCCCCAAGGCCCAGAGGTTTAGGTTTTGGGGTGTGGGGTTTGGGGTTTACGGTTAAGGGTTTAGGGTTTAGGGTTTTAGGGGTTCAGGGTTTGGGGCTTATCAGCCCTAAGCCATGGTGGTTGTGGGTTTAGCGGCTAGGCGTTTGCTGAGAAGAATGAGCTGCCCGACAAGTATCGTCCTACCGAGAGACCTAGTCGTTCCTTGATGTAGGTCATAAATAGGTGCATGAGTGTGTATATATATATATATGTATGGAAGTATGTATGTATGTGTATATA